CTCAAACTGATGGACAGTCCAAGATCACCAATAAAGCCATTGAGAAATACTTGTGACACTTCATCAGCTTCCACCAAGATGACTGGGAACAGCTTCTGCCAACCTCTGAGTTTTCCCACAAATACCATGACCACACCTCTACTAGCATCACACCATTCAAGGCAAACTACGGATTCAAACTGTCCTACAGCCTTGTACCCTCCACTGAAAAGTGTTTTCCCACAGTCAAAGAACACCTCAAGAAGCTCAATGAAGTAAAAAAAGAGTTGAAGGAGTTCCTGAAAAGATCACAAGATTCAATTAAGTGCCAGTTTGATAAGCATGTCAGGATGAACCCGCATTGAAAGATTGGGGATGAAGTTTGGCTCAAAAATCACAAGATATCTACGACTAAACCGTTCCCCAAGTTGGCCAACTGATGGCTAAAACCATTTCCAATTCCCAAATTCATTTCTTCCTCTTCATATGAACCGACTCTACCTGCTTCTTTTCAAGGTGTTCATCCGGTTTTCCACATGTCACTACTCCACAAGCACCAACCAGATTTGATCAACGGCCGCCAACCACAACCACTGGACCCCATCCTTATTGAGGAAAAAATTTGAATGGGAAGTGGAAGAGATCCTGGACTTTCAAATGCGTGGGAAGAAGTGGCAGTACTTGGTAAGCTGGAAAGGATTTGGCCCATAAGAAAACTCCTGGGAACCGGTTGGGAACTTGAAGAACTGTGATATGTTGGTCAACCAATTCATGCTTGGTTCCCCTCCCAATTCAGCCATGCAGCCAGAAAGCACCAACAACATCAACGGAAAGGGAAGTAGTGGGAGGGCGAGTTTTTTTTTTTTCCCAACAGCCAGGTTTTTTGGCGCTGCCTGGGGAAGATGCAGAGTCCACCCGGGCCTTGGTATAAAGGGGGGATAATGTTATGATCTTGTAAACCCCCTCTGGGACTTGCCAGGGGTTTCCCCAACTGGGGAATCATCTCCCTCTGCACCTTTGTACATTCTCCAGTTAGCAATCTACATCTCAATCACAGCATGGTCAAAATAATGATCAAGGTTGTTAATGTTTTTACCAATCCCATGCAATCAGCAAGGATCAAGCTACAACAGGGAGCTGTACCAACCTCATGTGGGGTTTTCCAGTATCCAGTTGTTTTCACAATGCTTCCAGCTATTGTAAAGATTCTTTCCTTCAAGAGATTCATCTTTTTTTCAGGAACTTTGGGGCTTGGATTTGATGATGTTTCAGGGTGGTCAGCCATATTTCCTGCGAGGATTGAAATGAAGCTTTCTCTTCAATCAATTTGATGAATGGCGGTGGCTGTGTGGTTTGAGGGATATTAGGATTGTAATTCCAGATGGGGGTAAGGCTGATTTTTGCATTCCTGAAAGCTTGGACAATTAATTTTTCATTTAAAAAACATCCCTAGGAGCTGAGGAGCTTGACAGTTCTTTTTCACCAAAAAAGGTTGGAGTTTCATGATGGTTGGATTGTTTTCTGGGATGCTCTTCAGAAATGGGGGAGGAGTAATTTCCAATCTGATTGAGGATTGGGCCAATTGATTCACTTTCCAATTGACAAAGATCTCCAACCAGACACCTAGGATAAAATTGTATATGCACTAAACAGGTTCCTCTTTGAAGAAAAGCTGGATGGTGGCATTCAGGAAATCATCATATTGAATCAGGGAAGTATAATGGTACTATCGATTATCCAAGCAGAGTAGGGGGGAAATGGTGGAATAATGATCAAGCAAGTTTTGTTCTGGGGTGAGGAAGGAAACCGTAGAACTAGGCTTTTTTTATCATTTCCTTGAGGTTGGCTACAATTAATAATCATGTCTTGATTCAATGCCCTTTGAAAAAACTGTTTAATAACATATGTTTTTGTTTATGTTTGTGTAGTCATATCAAGTCCAGCAGCACCGGTGTGAGACACTTGTTGACCTTGAATATTTGGATACAAATTTGTTTTGACTCTATTTCCCTTTTTAAAACCAGAATATAATATGGTTTGCTCATATTGCAGGATGGATGAAACACAGGTTGAGTGGAAAACCAAGTGACTGAGGAACTTATAAATCCCATTGAACCTCAAAACCTCATTGACAACCAATTAGTTGGGAAGAGACTATCTCGAGAGAGCTGGATGAAACATCCAGTTCTCAACTCTACAATCTCCATTCAACATCAAATGCACTATATGGTGCCCTGGTTTTATTTCATCCTTGTATCCAAATATGGATGTGGTGGCCATGATGTGATTATAGGCTCAGGGAATAAAATAATACAATATATTATTGGAAAAGGTTATCACAGAGGTAATTTTGAGTTTTTCATGAGTTGTACATACTGATACACATTATGTTACTTAGTTCCACAATGGCTCAACTTAATTTTTTCAGGGTATATCACCAAACCCAAAGTGAAGGCAATTTGTACATGTTGCTTTTGTTATTGGCCTGGTACATATGGGTTTCCTGCAACCAACATGCTACTTGTTTTAAACCAAAAAAATTAAGAATACATGTGATGGCACTCAACAGTGAAGTGCTAGGAATTGTCCCCTGGTGCAGTGATAAGACCAGGGACCATGTGAGGAACTATCAAGGTAGTCAGAGAGACTGGGGCAAAGCAAAAAGTAGGTATCCCCCTAGTTCTTCACCCAAGAAGTACATAGTAATGAAAGATTATTACTCACATGTGATCCAACCATTCACCTGTGCCCTTTTATGCTGGCACCTGCTGCCTCTTTTGAAAGAGCCATGATCTCAATGGTGCAATTTTCTGAATTGCATTGAGACCAAGAAAAGGAGAGATTCCTTCCAACCAATGACCCACTCACATATTGTTGGAGCTGAAATCTCCTCCATGCAGACTGACACCCAAAGATCATAAGACTTGGACCTGGTAACATTAAAATCAGTTCAAAAGTGCATCAAGACTTGATCCCAGAAGATAACACACATACATTTTGTAACTGTACAGAAATGTTAACTTCAGCATGAAAAAATAAGTTTCTGTAGCCTAGATGGTTAAAGGCAGCACTGTAGCGTGTGTGTCAGTTATAATGAGGTCATGGGTTTGAATCTCACCAGACACAACTACATTTTGAATTCTAACACAAATTTTGTGAGATAGTGGTTGGTGGAAGGATGCACTGATTCAGGTAATACTGGATGATAAATATAGCAATGTGATCCATGGCTTCCAATAAGGATTTTCCCAAGGGGTGCTGTGTAATATTATTCCCCAATCATTTGTCTGCACTGCTTGCAGAGGAAGATATTAAGAAGAACCTCAAGAAAGAAGAAGTACATGTGGGGCAAATGTATGGCCCATTAACGCTTGAAGAGGCAGTGGCACATTTCCCCTTCTTCCTTTCAAGACCCCTGGGCACAGCAACAAACCCAGATGGATCCATAAGACCAATGAATGACCTGTCTTTCCCGCATGGGCAAAATGGGAAGAGGCCATTTGACACCACTTAGGATGAGTACAAGATTGTTTCAATATTCTTCAGGAACATGGAAGGCTCAGTGTAGGCCTTGCCATATCTGATTGCGGAATATCAACAATAACTTACTATCACCAGAGGAAAATTTTTGGCACTTGACTGGCAAGTGCCATTGCAGAGGTGTTCCCAAAGTTTTGGTTGTAAGTGTGTTGAATGTTGGTTTTATCAATCCTGTATGTATGACTTGAAGTGAATTGGAAATTTTCTGGAAGTAATTGGTGTGCT